ACCTTGATCTTGAAGTTAAATCATGGTTAAATGTGTCCATTTCTTTTCTTTTCAACTTGGTGTTGGAGTCTCTTAAGCTATTATGTGTAAGTTGTATATTTAGGAAAGACAGAAGGCTGAAATTGCAGGAAATGGCCTCCATTTCTATTTATAACAGTCAAAATGCTATAGCTTCCTCCTCCGGACCACCCCCCCCCGCGTTGCGCGTGGCTTAGTGTGTGCTCGGTAAGTTTCCTCCCTCATACTAAACTTTTCTGGGGAGAACCCTGATGTACAGTACTTTCTATTCAAAACCTACATGAACTTTTAAAATGGGCAGATTATGAATCCAAATCATTTGTCTTTTGAGACAATGTCAGCTGAAGAACATGTGTCCCCTCTTGTGTTGTTCCAGATGGTATGGCCAGGAGAGGGACTACAATGTATTGGTTATGGACCTGTTGGGGCCCAGCCTGGAAGATCTCTTCAACTTCTGCTCACGGCGCTTCACAATGAAGACAGTTCTCATGTTAGCAGACCAGGTAGGCAGCCACTTTTCCCATGGTTTTGTTCTGAGTAGATGTGATGAATAATATATATGTTAGGGACTGTACGATATTTACCGGTGGGGGAGGGCTGGTGCGTAGGGGGGGGAGGGCCATGGAAAAAATATTTGGCATATGGGGGAGGGCCATGGAAAAAAAATCGGGGCTGGGGGAGGGCCAAGGAAAATTTTCTTTACGAATCCGTCGTACGATCCCTCGAAAAGTGTCCCTCAAAATGCAGGAAATAATGTTCAGAGGGTCAACTATTACACATTTTTCCCGAGCTCTCGCGCCTTCGGCGCTCGACACAAACTTACGGCAAACAAAATTGAGATGACGGACGGGAAAAATCAGGCTGACTAGAACATTGATTATTGAAAAATAACAAAAAATGAATACTAAAGCATGAAGGTCTAAACCTAGCATATTTAGCACATTGACCAAGAAACACCGGTTCTTTTACAGCAGGCGACGCCCT